TAGGCAATGCACTGGAAAGTGATCCTCCTCCTCCTTCTCGTCCTCTCCCTTCCCAGTGGTGCACCTCCCTTTTCATGTTGCCTTTAGCTGCTGTCGTGTAATCCACATCATACCACACCCCATGCTCCTGGAAGCATTCCTTCCATTGAGCACCTACCAACACACCGTCAATGCGATGTTGATACCCTGGTACACTAACCCATGCGAAGCCGCCTCCAGCTCCATCTCCGAATATGTTTACTACCGCCAGCTCTCCTGCAGCAGCAAGCCCGCGCAGCTCACTGCCATTGGAATCCTCTTCTTGGGCCCAGCCGTCACAGCCGACCGAACTGGATTCAAGTGAACCAAATCGCCCGTTGGCATCGACACACCAGAAGTCTGGGCGCCATTTGTCCGCCACCAATCGCAACTCCCTCCACCAATCAGCTCTGATCTGGTCGGAGTGGGGGGGGTGGCCGATCCCAACAGTGATGTCGAGGTGCGGTGCACTGACGCGGACGACCAGGATTCTGGCGGTGGCGTGACCTGCCTGCACGTGGTCCAAATTAAAGCAAAGCCCACGACCGTCTCTCGTAGCATACGGGATGGTCTTCGTAATCCAAAGCCCACATCCTAGGTTGCCTCCGAAACCTCCCGAAGAGACAACGCAGAAATCATAGTTGTTTGCACGTCCTGCTTTGGTTCTAGCCTCCTGCACGCCTACAATGGAGACCCCTTATACTGCTGCACCTGAAGTCAAAGATGCTGTGAGCGGCTCCGCGGAAAACGCAGTATTCCCAAGCATGGAAGAGGCATTGTACGAGGCAATGCGCAACATATACTGCAGCCCACCTCCCTTCCTCTTCGCCCCCCGCTGCTGAACACTGTCTCTCAAGTCCCCTTGCACCGTTCCCAATTCTCCCAGCTGGCCCATGGCGGCCTGCTGCCGCGCGCGGGCAAAAGTGAAACTATATCCCAACAGTTCTGGACACGCACTCTTGGTAGAGCCATCGGCGTGACGAAGCCGGCCCCAGCCCCTTTCCCCGCGAAACTCAAGCTCAACAGTCACGTCTGAAGGGCACAGGACAAACCATGGCGTGGCCCAACCGAGCTGCCTTGGCAACTGAGTCGGCTAGCTCATTCCAAGGCACACTGTGGTGCGAAGCAACATGTTGAGACCCAACTAGGTTGGACCTCCTGACTTCGACGTATATCTGGCGCGCATGGCTTCCTAGTTCGGGGTTGGTGCGTGAGAGGGCACTCCCACGCATGATGTTGAGAGCTTTCTGAGAACCTCCAACTACCACTACCTCTCCAAAATCGCACAACCCTGCCCATACCATGGCCCAGATAACGGCTACTGTCTCTGGTGTTGTGCTGTCGTGGGGTTTCAAAACTGGTTGAAACGCCAAAGTCCCGCGAACCCTACCGTGGATGGCTCCCTGAAACGAGATGCCCCCATCCCTGCCGACGAACACTGCGACGGCGGCCCAGCTAGCTTCTTCTGGGTTGGACGCCTCTGTCGATGCGTCCGTGCATATGCACAACTTCCCCTCATCCCTTTTTCTGCAAACCCAAGGGCAGGACTCTAGAGCAAAACTAGCAGCTGGATGCAAATCTATGCATCGCTGCATATCCTGTACAATGACGGTCTCTTTTTCTTGGAGGGACTTGATTAGCCCTGCGGATTCCCCAAAAGGGCAAAGAACCTTGCCCCCGATGACCCCGCGAAAGCTCCGAGCAAAGCAACAATCCATTGCATCCCCATGGGTGTTCTCGCTTTCGGCCTGGTCCTGGACGCCCCCACAGAATAGAGCTTCGAAGAGAGAGATTGGAACTGGAGCAGCGTTGGCCTGTCCAACCTCGGATGGTGAGCTGGTGTCTACCCAATAGGCCAGCCGTAGTATGATGGGAATGGCTGCTGCACGCTCAAAATCAGCTCCTAAATGCCTGATCCCCCTGCAGACAGATGCTGAGCCAGATGCGCCATGCACATGTTGCCTTGTCTCTGGAAAGACGGCAGGCGTGTCGGAGCCGCTCGGCTCCTTCGTTTTCTTCCTGCTCGAAAAGGCTTGACTGCTTGAACAGCGCCCCGCCGTTGCCAGTCTTGCCGCGGCCACTCGGGCCAGCTGACGCAGTCCTGGCCGCCTTTCGCTCTATCTCTCTCTCTCTCTCTCTCTCTCTGTGACTGATGTCGGCGACCTGGATCTTGCGCCAAAAACTGGTGAAGCGACGGCTGGCGATGAGCGCACAGTGCCGGCAGACTCCGCGCGGCGGCCTGCTCTCTTCGGGGTCTCGCAGGGGTTGGAGGGGCGCTGCACGCTGCGCCTGGAAAACTCCCTGACCCTCTGAGCAACGCTCGGGCAAGGCTCTGGACTCACGCGCGGCGACTCCGCTGGCTCCGCTGATGTGCATTCTTTTTGCTCCGATGCGGTCTCCACTTTGGGCGGTCCAGTCGGCGTCGGGCAACCAGTGACTTCTTTCTTCTGCATGTCTGGCTCCTCGCGCCTGTCCGTCTCACCGCTCGGCGCCCGGTCCCCAGCTGTTGAGGCAGCGGGGGCTGAGGCTGCTTGATGCTGGACCAGGAATGTGCACATCTGATTTATCATCTGCTGCATGCTAACCATCTTCTCGATCAAAGGCTTCTGAGACTGCCCTATCATTTTGTTGACATCCTCTTCTGTGATCGACCTGCTCGTACCCTGCGATGTTGGAACCGATCCTTGTGTTCCTGCCAAGGTGCAGGGTCTTGGAGAAGAGGCTGGCATTGATGAGGAAGCCTCCTGCGTGTATCCATCGTGCTCGAAACCATCCTCCATGCCTTCGTCCATGTCCTCCTCGGCGTCTCTCTTCTCCTTCTCCTCTGCCTCGATCGCAGCGCCCACGGTCTGCAACTCCTCCTTGCTCTTCATCAGGGCCTTGAGGTGCTCCCTTGAGTTCTTCAGCTTGGCATACTTCTTGTCCGCAACTTTCTGAGCTTCGTCGGCTTCCTTCGGAGTGTGCTCGATGATTGTGCGACTCCTGATGATTGAAGACTCTTCCCAAGCGAGCTGCTCGAACACTGATTTTTCTGCAATCCTCATCCTGCGGTACACTCCGCTGAGCCGTACGATATTGGCCGTGTTCTCCCCCATGGCCCATTGGAGTTTGTATTGCTGCTGCGCCAGAGCGAGCTTGCTTTTCACGTTCTTGTAGTAATCGTCCGTCTCGTCCTTCGAGGCGCCTGGCTTGAGCGGCTGGTACTCGTCGCTCTGCAGCGCCTCGAATGGGGTTGCCATCCTGACTGATGGCGGTCCATCTTCTAAAGGAATGATGAGGTTATCCTCCTTCTCTCTCCATGGTGCGTTCTCGGTCTCCTTCGAGACTTCCTTCTGTTTCTTCCCGCCACGGGCGGTGGCCGCGCGCGCGCTGCGTGCGCGGGCGCGTGACTGAGCTGCTGGTAGCGTTGAGTCCGACTGCCGCCAGTGCTGCTTGCATCGGCCACGATGGAACTGGCCCGCGGGGTTGCTCTCGCCACAGATGCAGTTCCATGGCGCCATGACTATCCCGAGACAGAATGAATCCGGACGTGACTGCTGCTGGAGATGCGGGCCTAGGTGGCCGCTCGACCCCGCAAAGAAAGGCCGACCTGTTCAGCCACGGCAAGAGGCCCTTCGAGCCTCCCCCTCAGCAGTGGGCAAGCACGAAGCCGCAGGGGACGGTTTCGTACTCCTCTTCCTCCTCCTCCTCGTCCTCCTCCTCCTCCTCCTCCTCCTCCTCCTCCTCCTCCTCCTCCTCGGTCCCTCCTCCTCCTAGGTCCCCCCTCCTCCTCCTCCTCCTCCTCCTCCTCCTCCTCCTCCTCCTCCTCCTCCTCCTCCTCCTCCTCCTCGGTCCCTCCTCCTCCTCGGTCCCTCCTCCTCCTCCTCCTCCTCCTCCTCCTCCTCCTCCTCCTCCCCCTCCTCCTCGGGCGCCGAGCACCGGGGTCTGGGCATGCTCTCGGCCTGCCCCGGGCACCAGAGACCCTCAGGCTCCTCGACGAGGCCGACTGGACTTCAGTCGGGCCTGTCCCTCCACAGGGGGGCTATTCAAAAATAGTCAAAAGATAGTCTGGGGACTCTTGTTCTAATATTTTGGACAATTTGGGAGTATGTTTTGAGTATTTTTTATTTTTCGTCGAAAATCCCCCTGTAGGGGGACACGCCCGACTTAAACCTTTAGCCGGAGTGGCCTTTGGTGCGGGCCAGATGGGGTCCCCCGATCGCCGAAAGCGATGTTGTGATAGCGTCTTGCGCGCTCGTGTTTGGTCCCCCCGGGGCCCCCAACAAGCCGCGCACTATAAAGGTCACTCTTACCCAGGGTCACTCTTGCGTGTAGCCGATGAGGGATGAGGAGGAGCGAGGATCGGAGAGGTTTTTGGACGCTTGGGCTGAAGTTGGCGCTTCTAGGCCACCCCACGGCCCTGGCCCCTCTCAAGCAGTTTGCCCCTCACCCGGTGGACGGCGGCATGCCTCCTCATCGGAATCGCGCTACCTTTCGCCTTTTCGGCAGCCAGGATTGGCCGCACACCTTTCAGTACCTGAGGCCGCCCGCCCACTCCTCTTGGTGTGGACTCTCTACGCCTGGGGCCTCCCTCCGCGTTCCTCGCCCGCAGCCGCCTTCTTCTTTCCCTCTTGTCCAGTGCCCTAGCCGTGCGCAGCCCGACGGTTTTTGACCGCGTTGGCGCTCGCCTCTGCCGCTGGCCAAAAAAATCGGGCGGACCACTGGGGGGACCCTGATTGTTTATGTAATGGCCCGCTCTTTTTGTTCGGGGTTGCTAACCAGACCCGAGTGAACATCCAGAAGCGGAAGCTCACTCTATTTGCAGATGGTGCCGCAGATTTGCCATCGCCGTGCCCAGCACATTTCTGTAAAGAACATGCGCCTTGGTGCAAGTGAGCCATCTCAGGATCTCCTGTTCATCCTCGCATCCTCAGCCCTCCTACACCTTCCCCTCCTGCTTGGGGGGCCTGCGCATCATCGACGCTTCCTCCTGGCCTCGCGAGGCGCTCGGCTCCGCCGAGGCTAGCGCGGCCATCTCGGCCGAGGAGATCATGGCACGCATGGGTGCCCCGAGGATGCAACGGAGGGAGGGCGAGGAGGGGGTGGTGCACCTGCGCGCGGCAGGTGAAGACGCACACACACACACACACACACACACACACACACACACACGCACACACACACACACACACACACACACACACCTTTTTCCACCCCCCCCGCCGCGCCACGGCCGAGTGCGGATTGGAAGATACGGCAGGGCCCGCGGGCCGATGTTGACTCCACTCTGAGAGGGACAAGATGTCCAGTGGGCCTGCGGCCCATGCCGTCACGGCGCCTTGGGGGCTGCTGGGGGTCTCCAAGAAGCTTTTTCCGGCTTTCACGGGGAGTCCCCGGGAATTCTTCGGAGGTCTCCAGGGAGCCTTTGGAAGGCCTCCAGGGTGGGAAGGTCCAGGGAGTTGGGGGGGTCGTCTTGTGATGAAGAGGTCGTGGGAACTTTGGCAGGCGCACCCTCTAATGCGCAAAAACGACTACTCGATTGCTTTGAGAGCGTGTTGAATCTATGTGTGTGTTGGGGCCGCGGCGCACCGCCCGATCGGCCCAGGGCCGGTCCTGGAGCAGAGCGCGGGAACGCACACGCACGGCGACAGTTCCTCTGGAACTTCGCCGAAGAGCAGACCTCGGGAATATACATATATATATATAGAGAGAGAAGCAATATTGGAATCAATCAGTCCATCCATCCTTGCCTTGGCCTCCCACGCCGCCGACGAGAGACTACTGGTAGGAGCGCATCGCGAGCCTCCGCGGGGGCCCCGAAGGCGGCCAGCGGCGCGACGAGCGGCGCAGAGCCAGAAGCGACGATGCGAAGCAGCCAGTCTCGAGCGAGCTGCCACACCTGGCTCCAGTCCTGCACGGGTTGCCGCCGGAGCGCAGCTTCTAGTCTCTTCCGGCGGTTCAAATATGAGGTCCTGAAGGATGGGGTTTTGAAGACGAGGTGCCTCAAACAATGTAGATCTACCATTGGACCCCTTCCTATCCTTAGTTCTCCATCCCTCAGGACCCCATCTTTGAACCACTGACTTTCTTTCATGCAATGCCCTGTGGTCTCCCAACGTTCTTCGCCGAAACGAACCCATCCAACAATCTTGCGCGACATCTTTCTCTGAACTCAGAGGAGGAGAATGCACTGATACCGCTACCCATCCCTCGTTTTCCCCTTTTTGCTTCCTGGGAGGCCCTCGTCACCACCGCTGGATTCGCTTCAAAATTCTGGTCAGAAGCCACCCCGGGAGAGGGCCGCGGAATAGCGGTATCGGTACCGTTTGATTCCCCCACGAGCGTCATCAAATTTGAAAAGTTGTTCCGAGGGCAACGGCGCCGCTGATGATCTGCAGAAGGCAGCAGGAGCAACGACGCCTGAAAAGAGCTTGAGGCGCAAATGGGCGGGAATCTTCGGGCTCAGTAATGTCATCGCCAAGCGTTGAAATTTCTCCATGCGCGAGCATGCCAGCGTTTCAGATGACATTGCCCTCGCCGCTTCAAGTCTCCAGAGAATTAGGCGACCAAAATGCTTATGCGTGGCATCGCATCGCAAGATCTCCACGATGCACTCGCCGGCGTCAGCCTGGAGTGGGGCATCGCTGTCTGAAGCCGCGGAATCCGTGGTCATAGTCTTCGTCTTGGAATCATTGACGGAAAGGCTTGCCTTGGCGAGCTCTTCAGACAGCGCCACAAACATTAGTATATCTTCACCGAAAGTCTCCCCCAGTAGCAGCAGGTCGCCGGCGTACCTGATGTTCGTGAGCCTGCCGTGATCGTTGCCCAGGCCGCACTGGCACATCCTCTCCTTCCAACGCCGCATCACAGACTCATGCGGCGTTGAACAGAGCAGGGCTAAGTACGTCTCCTTGGCGAATGCTCCGGCGGATAGGAAACAGTACCTGCCCACCGATGTTAAGCAGGGCGAGGGGGGGTCCGTCGACTCCTTGCTCTCGCAAGGCCCCGACAAGCGAGCTCTAACACACCCTGTCACATGCATTCTTCAAATCGACGCTGACGTTCCAAATTGGGGCATTCCAATCAATGGACTCGCCGATGATGCACTCCAGCACTATCAGGGCGTGTAGGAGGGCGTAATCGACGCCCGTCTTCGATCTAAACCCCATTTGTGCCGAAGTCTGCTCGCTGTCCAAGTGGGCTTTAATCGGTTGTTCAGTATCTTTGAAAATTTCTTATACGTGACGTCCAATACTGCGATGTGTTGGGGCCGCAGTTGGTTCATTTGCAGTACACACTGGGAGCCGCGAGAGAGCCTTTAAATTCTGGCAAATGAGACTCCAGACCCTTCCGAACCCTTCAACCCCCTGAATCCACAACGGCATTGCCCTTGGGGCATCCCATTATGTGCTCGAGGTACGATTGGGGAAATCCTCTGAGGTGCTATGATGGGCGCTGCCCACGCGCGACGGCCTTCGCGCGCCTAGGATCTCACAAAGCACGCACTCCTCCTCTCCATCCGCACGGCACGCGTGGGCCAGGAAGGAGTTCGTGAATATATGTCGCGGTGCGTGGGCCACTCGTTCCTCTCCACTGGATTCACGCTGTATGCGTCTGTATACGTTGGATATGTTACCATGGATTGGGAGCGATGTCAGACCAAGGTACACACATGCTTGTATGGTATGTTGTACGCGCGATGGTGCGACATGAAAACGCCGTGCGTACGTACGCACGTGTGTAAACATCTATATGTATGTATATGATTATATATATCTTTTAATACATATATACATGTGCGTGCAAGTGTGTATATGCTAGCGAACCTTGACCCCATGTAGTGTGACTCTAGCAATATACGTGGTGCAACCTATGTGAAGCAAAATATGTGGTGTAATATATGAAACCATATCGATGCGGTGCAATCTACGTGGTGCAGTTTTTGTTGCACAAGGTTGCGCAACCCACGATGTATAATAGATAGTATGCAATCTGTGGTGTGCCGTATGTGTTTTGCAGGCTATATTGTGACAGATATGCATTGCAATCTGTCTTGTGGAATACCTGTGATGCTTTCTAACGGCGGCGACCAGCGGCGACGGCGGCGACGGGCCGGCGACGGCGACAACACAGCCACCAGACCGACAGACGGGCCCAAATGACGGCGGCGACGAGGCGGCGACGGAGCTGCGACGGCGGCCACATAGCCGCCAGACCGACAGACAGGCCCAGAGGACGGGCGGCGACGGGGTGGCGCCGGCGCCTACAAAGCCGCCACACCGACAGACAGGCCCAATTCCGTAGAACAGAAGTAAGGAGTCCTCAGTGCACGCTGTTTGGGGAGTGTGTATATATCTGTACATGCAAGCATACAGACATACTGAAAATCGTACATACAAACATACATACGTACATACAAACATACATACATACATACATACATACATACATACATACATACATACATACACATACTTATATACACACATACACACATACATACATACATGCATACATACATGCATACCAACATACATACATACACACAGACATACATACATACATACAGACAGACAGACAGACGTACATACATACAGGCATACATACATACATACGTACATACCTACACATATATATATATATATGCATATGCATATGCATTTGCATATATGCAAATGCATATACATATACGTGTACATCATTTACATACACATATGCATACATCTATACACATACATACATACACATATACCTATACATATGTATATACCTACACATACATATACATGCACATATACTCATACATATAAAACAAGATGTGCATACATGCATAGATCTATATGTATAGATATAGATGGTCTGTGTCGCCTGTTGCGTATTGCTCAGTCATGGTGGCGCTGTGGAGCCGGGCCGGCATGTACGAGGTCCGTCAAGACGAGCCCACGCACGAGTGCGCCCAGGCGCGGGGCTGGCTCGATCGCTGCTACAGGAACGCAGACTTCGCTGGCCAATTGGACCGCAATGTCTCGTCCACTGCTCGTGAGTGGGTTCCACAGCAGTCGGCCCAGAGAGCCATAGCATTCGGCCGTCGCGCCCCAGCCAGGCGCACCGCGGGTGCTGCGCCGATCCGCCCGAAGACTGCCGCCGACGCCAGGTGGCCATTCCGGGTCGCGGTGGTTCACCAGGAGCTGCGGCAGTCGTTGTGGTGCTCGGCCGGCGGCTCTCCCGCGGGCGCTTCTGGGCCGCTTCGGGCGACGCCACTTGGGAGTGGTGTGCCGCCTCTCCGGGATCCAGCTTCCCTCAAGCAGGTCATGAGGATCACGGCGGACCGGATGCTCCAGGAGTCCTTCCACGACTGCACTGGAGTCCTCGCTTTCGACGACTGCGGGGTCCACACGCTGCGCCTCCTCACACGAGCGGCAGACCGGGAGGCGGCAGGAGTGCTGCAGCAGAAGACCCCCTTTTCTCCCTGGTGTGCTCGGCCCTCCTCACCGAGGTCCCCTCCCAAAGGGTTGCGTAGGGGCCTTTTTTATTGCTAATCAGCAGAGGGGCACGGGATACGTTGGGCCCCGAAGCTGGGGGGGGGGGGGGTCCGGTGTTTTTGTTGTGTTGGTCGGCCATTCTAGGTTTGCGGACGCCTCTTGACGACCCGCTACTGACCACGGGGAGCGCTGCCGTGCCCAAGCACGCCTCGCAGCGTCGCTGATGCGTGCTGCCACTTGCTACCCAGAGCGGGGATCGAGGGGCTGACATCGTTGGCCTTGCCGCGAATATAGTTTTGTTGAGGAAGCGAGAGGGAAAGGGGACAGATGCAGGACTGCCGACGGTGCAAGCAGTCAAACTGCCATTCAGCACAAAGGTCCAAGCGGCTGCTCTGCGACGAGAAGACGAGCAGAGAGAGTAATCATCCCACCCCCACCCCCCAATGATGATGAGACGATGCCCTGATGCCCTCCCAAGCTCCTTGGATCCCCCATGGGAGCTCCAGCCCGTCAAGAGACGTCGTCGCAGATCAGCGATCGACGGGCACCTCTCTCCTGGATCGCCGCACGCCCACACGGCGCCACATCGAGGACGTCCCCAGAGTCGAGTCCTGGTCGGCTTCGCCCCCGGGTGGAGAGGGGGGGGCGGAAGAGTTGATCCGCAAGCGGCGACGGCAGAGACACGGGGCTGGCGCGAGGGGGGAGGGCGCCTTCTGGGGCCGCCGCTCCCAGCGCTTCCGGTGCGGCGGTGCGCAGTCCCGGCCCTGCAGCTCGCCTGTTTGCCCCCCCCCCCTCTGGCCTGGCGCCATCGCTTCCCTCCGGGGTGCCACTTCAAGAGGGGCCCGACCGGTGCCCACTCGGGCAGCGCCAGAGACACGTGCCCCAGATATTGCATAAGAAACGTAAGCCCATGTTCTACATAAGAAAATAACAATAATAATAATCATCATCATAATCATAATAATAATTATACTAATAATAAAACATTGTAAAAAAATAAACAAAACAAAAAAAAGAAAAAAAAAAAACACTCAGTGTCGGACGGTTGATTGTAACTCAAGGCTCCAGCCTTGGACTCCGCGTCGGCATACTCGTCGCCGACAGCGACCCGCCACTCTTCAGGCAAGGGAGCACACGCCGACGGAGCAGTGTGAGCCTTCGTCGCCACAATGGCCAAGTGCCATCATTCTGACCCGCGCACAGAAGGATATGCGATTTAGACTTTTCGGCGGGGCTTCGCATAAAAACCCTCGAGGCCTTCAAGATCAGGGTCTCAGGCTTCCATGCCCAGCAATTGGGAGAAAGGAGAGAGCAGCAAGCATGCCGAAATGCGCAGCCCCTGGATTGTCTTGCCGCAGCAGTGGTAGAAACCCGGCCCTCTTGGTGGATGTTGGTGGGAGTACTTTAGGATCCAAAGATCAGGCGATCGCAAACATGGATCAAGGGGGCGTGGATTAGCGACGGGTCCCGATTTTATGGGAAATCGCGGTTGTTCGCCGCCGAATGAGGCGGCACCGGCCGCATTATGGGGAGGGCACCTCCCCGGATCCATGGATTTGGCGACCGCGCGCCAAATCCATGGATCGCTAATCCATGTTTGCGCGCCCCCGAAAAGAGGTGTGCAAGACCAATCGGCCCTGTGGCACGATCGAGGGCCCAGAGCAAACAGAGGTCCCCCCACCCCCTCCAACGAACGAAAAAAACACGACGTCACTCTCCGAGGCCTCCGACGCTGAGAGACCGAGTCTCGACGGCCGACTTCGAATTCCTCTCGTGCCCATACCCCGTCGGAGGGGGCACGCAGCAGAGGGGGGAAGTCTTGGAAGCCTGCGGAGAGAGGATTGCGGCGTCGGCTCCACCGAGTACAGCCATGTCATCTTCTGTGGCTGTTCTCGGGGCTGTCGAGGACGGCAACATCCAGAGAAACGGAAGCAGAAGGTCATCTGTGTGATGCTGACACTGGCGCTCCGTGGGAGCTCCATAGCCGCATTGTTTCAACCTCCGCCGCGTGCAGAAACCTGCAGTGGAAGAATTGTCAGGGCAGCCTTCTGGGCAGCCAGGAACCAGAAGCTCTGGATGAGGGAGGTGGCGACGTCCATGTTTACGCAACCCCCTTGCAACCCCTGCTTATGGGTGGCCCTGGAGCCGAGACCTGAAAACCAGGAGTTCTGAGGTCCGCATGCAGCTCAGCAGGGGATGCGCAAGTCACGAGGAAGCGGGACAACAAGGAGCAGGTTGGGGGATGGAGGAGGCCCAGAAGGTGGAGGAGGGGGATACATCGATTGCCCCATTGGTGGATAGATCGCCTTTCCCTCTCCACCCCCATCCGTCTTTCCCTCCCTGGTGCCCCCAGGTTTCGGTGCCTTGGACATCAGCCCGACGATGGCGGCGTCGATGATCTCGGCCGCCGACGAGCTGGTGGGAGTCGGAGCAGGAATTTATTGGTGGTGTGGCTCCCATGTTGCACCACGTCCACTCACTTGTTACCTCTCCCTCTCTCTCCCTCTCTCTCTTTCTCTCTCTCTCTCTCTCTCTCTCTCTCCCCCTCTCTCCCCCATGCCTCTTTCTCTCTCTCTCTCTCTGTCTCTCTCGTTCCCTCGCGCAGCAGCCCTTTCCAGCAGCTGCGGTCCACGAGGACCGCGGCCAGCTTGCGCCCTCCCCGGGAGGCTAATGTCGGGCCCTGTTAAAACACAAGTATCCCTCGTGCTCTCTCTCCCCCTCTCTCTCTCTCTCTCTCTCCCTCTCTATTTCTTCCTCTCTCTCTCTCTCTCTCTCTTTCTCTCTCTCTCTCTCTCTCTCTCTCTCTCTGCAAGTGGCACGTGCGTGCCAAGGCTCATGCAAAACCATTTGCAGGATGTGTGTGTGTGTGGTGTACAGTTTGTGTCGTGTGTCTTGTGTGCTGTGTGCGTGTGTTGTGTGCTGCGTGAGGTACGTGTGAATTATGAGTAGGTCATATGTGTTCTGGGCGGTATGTGAGTTAGGTGTGTGTGGTGTGTGTGTGTGTGTGCGCGGTGAGTGTGCGTATGTGTATGTGTGTGTGTTGTGTTTGTGCTTCATGTGTATGTGTGCGTGTGGGGTGTGTGCGTGTCGTGTGTGTGTGTGTGTCTGTGTGTGTGCGTCTGTGTCTGTGCCTGTGCCTGTGCCTGTGCCTGTGTCTATGTGTGTGGTGTGTGTGTGGTGTGTGTGGTGTGTGTGGTGTGTGGTGTGTGGTCTGTGGTGTGCGCGTGTGTGCGTGTGTGCGCGCGTGTGCGCGTGAGTGTGCGTAATCGTCGTCTGTGTGTGTGTGCGCGTGTGTGCGCGTGAGTGTGCGTGTGTGGTGTGTGTGCGTGTGTGCGTGTGCGTGTGTGGGTATGCGTGTGCGTGCGTGTGTATGCGTGTGTGTGTGTGTGTGTGCGTGAATGTGTGCGTGTGCGTTCGTGTGTGTGCGTGTGTGTGTACTGTGTGTGCGTGTGTGTGTGTGTGGTGTGTGGTGTGTGGTGTGTATATGTCTGGTTGTCTGTCTGTCTGCCTGCCTGTCTCTCGGTCTGTCTGTCTGTCTGTCTGTCTGTCTGTCCGTGTGTCTGTGTGTCTGTGTCTGTGTGTTGTGTGTTGTGTGTGCGTGGGTGTGCGTGGGTGTGCGTGTGTGTGTGTGCGTGCGTGCGTGCGTGCGTGCGTGTATGTGTGTGATTGTGTGTGTGTGTTCTTCCGTTCCCCCGCCTGATGCGGGACGCCGTATCTTCTCACCTTCTCAGCCCAAGCTGCGCGCCAAGGCAAACAGTGCAGGCGGCGGTGGGTGAGCGCCAAGTACGTGGGTGGGGCACGGTCCGCTGTGCAGCCACCCAACGCCAATATACACACACACACCCACGCTGCTCTTGAAAGCACCCAACCGCCAGGACTAGCCCCATCCCGCACTGGTGGACCCAGCCTTTGCACAAACACACGCGACGCAAGACAACCACGGTGCTGCAAGCCCAGCGCTGCGTGCAGCTCATGCTGTGTGCGCGCTGTCTCGGCGAGGGTTGGTGTCAGTCGGTTCCGGGTGGCTTGATGGGGCGCACCTGCACCGCGCGACTCCGCACAAGGCTCACGGTAGCATGTGGGAACGCGGGTGGGTGAGAGAGCGTGTTTGAGCCACACGTTTGTGCGTGCGTAAAAGGGGAGGAGGGCAGGAGGGGGAGGGAAAGGAACGGGGAGGGGAGGGGGGTACGAACGGGGCGAGGAGGCAGGAGGCCAGGCAGGAAGCGGAGGTAAGTGGAGGGGGAGGGGAGGGAGAGCACGACGACAACGACACATCGGGGGCCGGGGCCGGCGCTCCTGGCACGGAGCCGGTGGCTTGGGGTGCCACACCGCTACACATCACAGCGCAGCATTGAGGCACGGCCGAGCGTGTGCGTGTGTGTGTGTGGCAGCACATCACAGCAAAACACTGCACATCACGACACACCACAGCACGACACAGCACAACACCGCATAACACATCACTTCACAGCACATCACAGCACATCACAGCACACGCCGCTTGGCGTTTTGTGTGTGTGCGCGTGTGTGCGTGTGCGTGTGTGTATGTGTGTGTTTGTGTGTGTTGTGCTGTGTGTTGTGTGTTTTGTGTGTGTTGTGTGTTGTGTGATGTGTGTGTTGTGCGTGTTGTGTGTGTTGTGTATTGTGTGTTGTGTGTTGAGTGTTTTGTGTGTGTGCTTGTGTGTTGTGTATGTTGTGTGTTGTGTGTTGTGTGTTGCGCGTGTTGTGTGTCTGTGGTGGGTGTGTGTTGTGTGTGTGTTGTGTGTGTGTGTTGTGTGTGCTGTGTGTTGTGCGCTGTGTTGTGTGTGTGATGTATGTTGCGTATGGAGAGTGTTGTGTGTGTTGTGTGATGTGTGTGTTTTGTATATTGTGTGTTGTGTGTGTTGTGTGTTGCGTGTGGTATGTGTCTTGTGTTGTGTGTTGTGTGTGGTGTGTGTGGTGTGTGTGTGGTGTGTTGTGTGTTTTGTGTGTTGTGTGTGTTGTGTTGTGTGTGTGTCCGTGCGTGCGTGCGTGTGTGTGTGTGTGCGTGTGCACGTGTGCGTGTGTGCGCGTATGCGTGTGTGTGTGTGTTTCTGTGTTTTTATGTGTCTGGTGTTTGTGTGTGCGTGTGTGTTCGTGTGTGTGTGCGTGTGTGTGTGTGTCTGTGTGCGTGTGCGTGTGTGTGCGTTGTGCGTGTGTGCGTGCGTGTGTGCGTGCGTGTCTGGTGTGTGGTGTGTGCGTGTGTTTGTGTATGTGCATGTGTGTGCGTACGTGCGCGCGCGCGTGCGTGCGTGCGTGTGTGTGTGTGTGTGTGAGTGAATGTGCGTGTGCGTGTGTGCGTGCGTACGTGTGAGTGGCGCGCATGTGTGTGTTTTGCGTGTGTGTGTGTGTGTGCGTGGTGTGTTTGGTGTGTGTCTGGTGTGCGTGGTGTGTGTGGTGTGTGTGGTGTGTGGTGTGTGCGTGATGTGTATGTGGTGTGTGTGTGGTGTGTGTGTGGTGTGTGGTGTGTGTGGTGTGCGTGGTGTGCGTGGTGTGCGTGGTGTGCGTGGTGTGCGTGGTGTGCGTGGTGTGCATTGTATGCGTGGTGTGTGTGTGTGTTGTGTGTATGGTGTGTGTTGTGTGCTGTGTATGGTGTGGGTGGAGTGTGCGGTGTGTGTGGTGTGTGTGTGTGGTGTGTGTGGTGTGTGTGGTGTGTGTGGTGTGTGTGTGGTGTGTGTGTGCTGTGTGTGCTGTGTGTGCTGTGTGTGGTGTGCGCGGTGTGTGTGGTGTCTGCGTGGTGTGTGTGTGTGGTATGTGTGGTGTGTGAAGGGTGTGCGGTGTGTGTGGTGTGTGTGGTGTTTGTGGTGTCTGTTGTGTCTGTGGCGTCTGTGGTGTGTGTGTGGTGTGTGTGGTGTGTGTATGTGGTGTGCGTGTGTGGTGTGTGTGTGTGGTGTGTGTGTGTGTGTGGGGTGGGGGGGGGGGCGGGGTGTGGGGATGTGGGGGGTGTGGGGGGTTCTGGGGTGAGGGGGTGGTGGGGTGTGGGGGTAATGGGGTGTGGGTGTGGTGTTTTTTGTTGGTGTGTGGTGTGTGTGTTGTGTATGTGGTTTGTGAGTGGTGTGTGTGGTGTGTGTGGCGTGTGTGTGTGTGTGTGTGGTGTGTGTGTGTGTGTGTGGTGTTTGTGGTGTTATCCCGCGTGTGTGGGTGCGTGTGTGGTGTGGTGTTTATGGTGTGTGTGGTATGTGTATGTGGTGTTGTGTGGGGGGGGGGAGGGTGGGGAGGGGGGGGGGGGGTGTGCGTGTGTGTGGTGTGTGTGGTGTGTGTGGGGTGTGTTTGGGGTGTGTCTGTGTGTGTCTGTGGGGTGTGTGTGTGTTGTGTGTATGTGGTGTGTGTGGTGTGTCTTTAGTGTGTCTGGGGTTTGTCTGGGGTGTGTGTTTGGCGCGTCGGTGGTGTGTCTGGGGTGTGTCTTGGGTGTGTCTGTGGTGGGTATGTGGTGTGTATGTGGTGTGTCTGTGGGGTGTCTGTGGGTTGTCTGTGGTGAGTCTGTGGTGTGTATGTTGTGTGCCTGTGGTGTGTCTGTGGTGTGTCTGTGGTGTGTGTGTGTGGTGTGTCTGTGTGTGTGTCTGTGTGTGTGTCTGTGTGTGTCTGTGTCTGTGTGTGTCTGTGTGTGTCTACGTGTGTCTGTCCACATCGCCGGAGCAGTCCGTCTGCCCAGCCGCCGACGCAAAAGGTATGTGTCTGTTTGTGTGTATGTGTGTGTCTATGTGTGTGTCTGCATTATTGTCTGTGTGTGTCTGTGTGTGTGTCTGTGTGCGTGTGTCTGTGTGTGTCTGTGTGTGTGTCTGTGTGCGCGCTTGTGTGGATGTGAATGTGGATGTGGATGTGGACATGGATGCGGATTTGGATGTGGATGTGGATGTGGACGTGGACGTGGACGTGGACGTGGACGTGGACGTGGACGTGGATGTGGATGTGGATGTGGATTTGGATGTGGATGTGGATGTGTGTGTGGGTTTGTGTGCGTGCGTGCGTGCGTGGGTGCTTGGGGGTGCGTGGGGGCGTGTGTGCGTGTGTGCGAGTGTGCCTGTGTGCGTGTGTGCGTGTGCGTGTACGCGTTCGCGTGTGGGCGTGTGCGCGTGTGTGCGTGTGCGTGTGCGTGTGCATGTGCGTGTGCGTGTGCGTGTGCGTGTGCGTGTGCGTGTGCGTGTGCGTGTGCATGTGCGTGTGCGTGAACGTGTGTGTGTGTGTGTTTGTGCGTGAGTGCGTGTGTGCGCGTGTGTTTGTGTGTGTGTGTTTTGTGTGCGCGCGTGCGTGTGTGTGTGTGTTTGTGTGCTTGTGCGTGTTGTGTGTTTGTGTGTTTCTGTATTTGTGTGTTTGTGTATCTGTGTGTGCGCGTGTGTGTTTGTGTGGTTGTGTGATTGTTTGTTTGTGTGGATGCTTGTGTGTGTGGTTGTGTGATTGTGTGTTTGTGTGTTTGTGTTTGTGTGTGTTTATGCTTATGTGTTTATGTTTTTATGTGTGTGTCTGTGTTTGTGTGTTTCTGTGCTTCTGCGTTTCTGTGTGTGTGTCTGTGTCTGTGGGCGGGGGGCGTGCGTGTGCATGTGTGTGTGCGTTTGTGTGTGCGTGTGTGTGTGTGATTGTTTGTGTGTGTGGGCGTGTGCGCGAGTGCGTGTGTATGTTTGTATGATTGAGTGTGAGTGGGTGTGCGTGTGCGTGTGCGTGTGCGTGTGTGTATGTGTGTGGTTGTGCGTTTGCGTGTGATTGTGTGTGAATGTGTGTGAATGTGTGTGTGTGTGTGTTTGTGTGTGCTTGTGTGTTTGTGCGTGTTTGTGCGTGAGTGCGTGTGTGCCTGCGTGTGTGCGTGTGTGCGTGTTTGCGTCTGTGCGTCTGTGCGTCTGTGCGTCTGTGCGTGTGTGCGTCTGTGCGTGTGTGCGTGTGCGTGTGCGTGCGTGCGTCGTGTGTGCGTGCGTGCGTGCGTGCGTGCGTGCGTGAGTGCTTGTGTTTGTGTTTATGTTTGTGTGTTGCGTGCGGGTGCGTGTGCGACACGCACGTTTGCAGAAGCGAGTCCCGTACAGCCCTCCTTGCGGCGGGGAAGGGAGCCCGAGAAAGGGGAGGGACAGGGAGCGCAGCGGACAGAAAGGGCAGGCGAGGGGCGGCGTGCAAGGAGGCGGGGGAGTTCGTGGGGAGGGGGGAGGCGTCAGCGGAGGAGAGGCGGGAAGGGAGCGGGGAGGGGGGGGGGGGAGGCGGGGCGGAGGGGCGGCGAGCTGCGGGGGGATGGGGGGGGAGGCGTCGCTGGAGGAGGGGCGGGGGGAGCGAGGGCAGGCAGGGGGGCAGGGGGAGGGGAGGCGAAGGGAGGGCAGGTGCGGCACAGCTGCTGGGAGGAGGAGCGGCGAGGGGCGAGAGCGACGGGGAGGCTGGGCGAGCCGCGATCAGCCTCAGCCTCGGCCGCGGCAGGCCTCCGCCCCACGGAGCGGGCCCGGCCGCGCCGGAGACGGGCGGGGGAGGTCTTCGGGCTGGCCCTGGAGAAGGCCAAGGCCCTGGCCGAGAAGGAGAGCCTCGCGGGCGCCAAGGAGCGCCCCTGGCCCGCGTGCGGGCACGAAGCGCCCAAGAGTCTGGATCGCCCGCTTCTCCTCTGCCGCTCTCCTCTCCGTGCCAAAGTCGGGTCGGACGGAAGGGGGGGGGGGTCAGGGACCTGGGGAGGTCGAGGTCGCAGCTGGCTTCGGTCCCGCCGCCGAGCCCTTCCCTCGATGAAGTAGCGCCTCAGGCGCCGGGAGACGCCACAAAAGTCAGCAACGCGAGCTGATTCGTGACCCCCCCCTTTTACTAACCCCCCTGTCGTCCGACTCGAACGTATTTCGTCACCGTCGCCCCACCGGACGCGTCGCTAGGGCGCGCCAGGCGTTTCGCCTGAGGCTTCTTCCGGACTGGTCACGAGATTGAAGCACTTGATACCTACTTCGACAGCTGCATGGATGGAGGGCGGGCCGTGTTCAAAGTGTGGCTCTCGCCTTGGCTCCGCGCAACAACAACAACAACAACAACAACAACAACAACAACAACAACTACTACTACTACTACTACTACTACCACGACTACGACGACTACTACTAATACTACTACTACTACTACTACTACTACTACTACTACTACTAACTACTACTACTACTACTCTACTACTACTACTACTACATACTAACTACTACGCCTACGACTACGACCTACGAGCTACTACTACCTACTACTTTAATACTACAACTACTACAAACTACTATCACCGCTACCTACTACTACTAGCTCCTACTACTACTACTACTACTCCTATCAACTACTCACTACTACTACTACTACTCTACTACTACTACTACTCCTACTACTACTACTACTATTCTACTTCTACTACTACGACTAACACTACGGCACGAAACTACTACTACTACTACTATTACTACTACTAACTCTACTACTACTACTACTACTACTACTACTACTTACTACTACTACTACGACGACCTACGATACCACTATTACTACTACTACTACTAAGCTACTACTTCCTACTACTACTACTACTACGACTACTACTACTACTACTGACTATCTACTACTACTACTACTACTACTTTTTTACTACTACTTTTACTCCTACTTACTATACTACCTACGTACTAACTACTACTACTACTACTACTACTACTAACTACGACGACTACTACGACTACTAACTACTACTACTACACTACTCACTACTTCTACCATACGACTACGATACGACTACGACTACTACGACTAATACTTCGCTGCTAACTACTACTACTACTCCTACTACTATCTATACTACCCTACGACTACTAACGAACTACTACTACGACTACGCTACGACTACGACTACTACTATTACTACTAACTACTACTACTACTACTCTCTACTACTAACTACTACTACTACTACACTACACTACTATACTTCTACTACTACACGACTACGACTGCACTACGACTACTACTACTACTACTACGACTACTCTACGAAACTACTACTACTACTACTACGACTACTACTACTACTACTACTACTACTACTACTACTACTACTACTACTACTACTACTACTACTACTACTACTTCTACTACTGCTACTACTACGACAGCGACAACAACAGCAACAACAGCTGCAGCAGCAGGCGGCGGCGGCGGCCAGGTACTGGAGGGTGAGCGCGCAGAGCGAGTGGGAGGGCAGGGTCCTATTATTATGTTATGATGGATCGTGTTTCGCGCTTCGGCCTTGTCTAACAGCAACAACATGAACAACAACAGCAACAACAATCACAACAGCTGCAGCAGCAACAACGACAATAAGATATACACGGAAATGTAAGGTGAACGGTTCTCAAAATTGGGTTCTCGCCTTCGCGCCGCGCACACTCGCCTGAGAGACGTCTACAAAACTTGCACGGATGCAGGGCGGGCCATCGTCAAAACGGATCTCCCCAGCGCCACGAACACTCGTTTTTTTCCATACCCTGCAGCTTCACGGATGGAGGGCTGCCCCGTTTTCAAAATCGGGGTATCGTTCAAGACGTCCCCACAAAACGAGGACCACACTTGTGATAGATTGTGCAACAGCGACACGGCCGGAGGGCGGCTCCTTTTCAAACTCTGGGGTTCGCGTCGGATGTATCGTTTTGCAGTGCCAGCAACTTGAGAAGCTTTGACAGCAGCTGAGCGGGACGGAGGGTGGTTGGAGGAGGATGAGGAGGAGAAGGAGGAGGAGGAAGAAGAAGAAGAGGAGGAGGAGGAGGGGAGGAGGAGGAAGAGTAGGAGGAGGAGGAGGAGGAGGATTGAGGGCAGTTTTCTCAACATTGGGATCCCGCCTGAAATTGTGGGCCCGTGAGGGGGCGCTCTTCTCTCAAGGTGGTCCCTTCGCGCCTTGGAACAAAAGAGAGTGTTTGTCGAGGCCAGTGCCGAACGAGGAGGGGGTTAGGCTGGGAGGGTGTACTGCAGGGTCATGATACAGATTGGGTTTGCTCAGGTTCTCCTCCTCCTCCTCCTCCCCCTCCTCCTGCTCCTCCTCCTCCACCTCCTCCTGCTCTCCTCCTCCTTCTCCGCCTCCTCCTCCTCCTCTTCCTCCTCCTCCTCCTCCTCCTCCTCCTCCTCCTCCTCTTCCTCCTCCTCTTCCTCCTCCTCAGCATCCTCCTCCTCTTCCGCCTCTCCTTCGCAGGGCCGTGGCATCGCATCCTGGCACCAGCGCCACCCACTGCGAAGGGCATATTGTTCACGAACTTCGGCGCAAGCCGACGGAGTTCGACGGAGGGCGTTTCTTGCTGCCTTGGCGGAGGGCCCAACTCCCTCTCACCGTGGGCTCTCGCTTCGGGTGTGGCACGTGGTGGCCCTCCTGGGGCTGCACCGCGGGCCCGCGGTTACCTGGGTCGGCGAGGCGGGGCCCGCGGTAGCAGGACCTGCGGGCATCCCCAGAGGCGGTGCTTCGCCACCCCCCCGCCGCGAAACGTGTGATGGGGTGTGCCGACATGGGCGCGGCGGCGCCACGCGAACCCTGCCACTGGGGCCTTCGGTGGGGCTCCCTATGGGGGCCACGAAACGTGTGAGGGGTGTGCCGACATGGGCGCGGTGGCGCCATGCGAACGGGTGAGCCGACATGGGCGCGGTGGCGCCACGCGAACCCTGCCAGTGGGGCCTTCGGTGGAGCTCCCCAGGGGGCCACGAAACGTGTGGGGGGGTGAGCCGACACGGGTGCGGTGGCGCCATGCGAACCCTGCCATTGGGGCCTTCGGTGGGGTTCCCTAGGGGGCCACGAAACGTGCGGAGGGTGAGCCGACATGGGTGCGGTGGCGCCATGCGAACCCTGCCAGTGGGGCCTTCGGTGGGGCTCCCTAGGGGGCCACGAAACGTGTGGGGGGTGTGCCGACATGGGTGCGGTGGCGCCATGCGAACCCTGCCTCTGGGGCCTTCGGCTGAGCTCCCGATGGGGCCACAAAACCGTGTAGGGGTGTGCCGACATGGGCGCGGTGGCGCCATGCGAACGGGTGAGCCGACATGGGCGCGGTGGCGCCACGCGAACCCTGCCAGTGGGGCCTTCGGTGGAGCTCCCCAGGGGGCCACGAAACGTGTGGGGGGGTGAGCCGACACGGGTGCGGTGGCGCCATGCGAACCCTGCCACTGGGGCCTTCGGTGGGGCTCCCTAGGGGGCCACGAAACGTGCGGAGGGTGAGCCGACATGGGTGCGGTGGCGCCATGCGAACCCTGCCAGTGGGGCCTTCGGTGGGGCTCCCTAGGGGGCCACGAAACGTGTGGGGGGTGTGCCGACATGGGTGCGGTGGCGCCATGCGAACCCTGCCTCTGGGGCCTTCGGTGGAGCTCCCGATGGGGGCCACTAAACGTGTGAGGGGTGTGCCGACATGGGCGCGGTGGCGCCATGCGAACGGGTGAGCCGACATGGGTGCGGCGGCGCCATGCGAACCCTGCCACTGGGGCCTTCGGTGGGGCTCCTTATGGGGGCCACGAAACGTGTGGGGGGTGAGCCGACACGAGTGCGGTGGCGCCATGCGAACCCTGCCACTGGGGCCTTCTGTGGGGCTCCCTAGGGGGCCACGAAACGTGTGGGTGGTGAGCCGACGAATGGAGCGGAGGGGGCCACGACACGTGGTGGGTGGTGACCGAACATGGGCGGGTGGCGCCATGCGAACCCTGCCACTGGGGCCTTCGGTGGGGCTTCCTATGGGGCCACGAAACGTGCGGGGGGTGAGCCGACATGAGCGCGGTGGCGCCATGCGAACCTTGCCACTGGGGCCTTCGGAGGAGCTCCCTGGGGGCCACGAAACGTGTGAGGGGTGTGCCGACATGGGCGCGGTGGCGCCATGCGAACCCTGCCACTGGGGCCTTCGGTGGGGCTCCCTATGGGGGCCACGAAACGTGTGGGGGGTGAGCCGGCACGAGCGCGGTGGCGCCACGCGAACCCTGCCACTGGGGCCTTCGGTGGAGCTCCCTAGGAGGCCACGAAACGTGCGGGGGGTGAGCCGACATGGGTGCTGTGGCGCCATGCGAACCCTGCCACTGGGGCCTTCTGTGGGGCTCCCTAGGGGGCCACGAAACGTGTGGGTGGTGAGCCGACATGGGTGCGGTGGCGCCATGCGAACCCTGCCACTGGGGCCTTCGGTGGGGCTTCCTATGGGGCCACGAAACGTGCGGGGGGTGAGCCGACATGAGCGCGGTGGCGCCATGCGAACCTTGCCACTGGGGCCTTCGGAGGAGCTCCCTGGGGGCCACTAAACGTGTGTAGGGGTGGTGCCGACATGGGCGCGGTGGCGCATGCGAACCCACTGGGCCTTCGGTGGGGCTTCCGTTGGGGGCCACAAACGTGTGTGGGGGGGAGCCGAACATGTGGCGCGGTGGCCCACGCGAGCCGCCGAGCCCAGCCACTGGGCCATTCGGTGGGGCTTCCCCAGGGGCCACGCAACGCGTGGGGGGTGAGCCGATCATGGGCGCGGTGGCGCCATGCGAACCCTGCCACTGGGGCCTTCGTGGAGCTCCATATAGGAAGCCACGAAAAAGTGTGGGGGGGAAGCCGACATGGGTGCGGTGGGCGCCATGCGAAAAACCCACTGAGGGCCCTTCGGAGAGCTCCATAGGGCCGACGAAAACGTGTGATGGGTTGACCGACATGGGTGGCGGGGCGCATGCGAACCCTGCGACTGGGGCCTTCGGTGAGCTCCCTAGGGGGCCACGAACGTGTGGGGGTGTCCGCAATGGGTGCGGTGCGCCACGCGAACGCCTGCCACTGGGGGCCCCTTCGGTGGGCACCCCAGGGGGCCCACGAAACGTGCGGGGGGGGGGGGGGGCGACATGGGCGCGGTGGCGCCATGCGAACCCTGCCACTGAGGCCTTCGGAGGAGCTTCTTAGGGGGCCACGAAACGTGTGAGGGGTGAGCCGACATGGGCGCGGTGGCGCCATGCGAACCTTGCCACTGGGGCCTTCGGTGGGGCTCCGTTGGGGGCCACGAAACGTGTGAAGGGGGGAGCCGACATGGGTGCGGTGGCGCCATGCGAACCCTGGCACGGGGGCCTTTGGTGGAGTTTCCTAGGGGGCCACGAAACGTGCGGGGGGTGAGCCTACATGGGTGCGGTGGCGCCACGCGAACCCTGCCACTGGGCCGTTCGGTGGAGCTCCCTAGGGGGGCCATTGAACGTGTGAGGGGTGAGCCGATATGGGCGCGGTGGCGCCACGCGAACCCTGCCAGTGGGGCCTTCGGTGGAGTTCCCTGTGGGGCCGCGAAACGTGTGGGGGGTGAGCCGACATGGGTGCGGTGGCGCCACGCGAACCCTGCCACTGGGGCCTTCGGTGGAGCTCCCTAGGGGGCCACGAAACGTGTAATGGTGCGGCAAAGCAGAGACAATGCGAAGGGCAGAGGCGAGAGGGGGGGAGAGGGAGGAGGGGGGAAGAGGAGAGGAGAGGAGAGGAGAGGAGAGGAGAGGAGAGGAGAGGAGAGGAGAGGAGAGGAGAGGAGAGGAGAGGAGAGGAGAGGAGGAACGCGGAGCGCTCTCTCTTCAAAACGAAAACCCAACACCACAGGATTGTTGGGGACAAAACAGACAGAGAGAGAGCGAGAGCAAATCATCCTGGCGAAGGACCCAACCATATGCAGTTGTGGGCAGCGCCATTGTGAACAGTTTCTTCGGTGAAGCTTCCTGTGGGGCCACGAAGCGCTGCACTGGGTGGGGGAACGCTGTCCTGGGCGAGTGGTGTGCCAAATTAAGTTTCCCGGACCCATGCGGACGGTCCCACTGGGGGCTTCGGTGGAGCTCCCTATGGGGCCACGAAGCGCCGTACTGAGTGGGTGGTGTGCCAATTTGGGTTTCCGGGACGCATGCGGACGGCCCCATTGGGGCCTTCGGTGGAGCTCCCTATGGGGCCGCGATACGCTGTACTGGGTGGGTAAAAATGCCACGTTGGGCTTTCGGGATGCATGCGGAAGGTCCCTGGGGCCTCCAGTGGAGCTGCCTATGGGGCCACGAAGCGCTGTACCTAGCGGGTGCAAATGCCACAGTATGGGTATTTCGGGACGCATGCGGACGGTTCCGCTGGGGGCTTCGGTGGAGCTCCCTATGGGGCCACGAAACGCTGTACTGGGTGTGCGGGACGCACGCGGACGGTAGCACTGGGACCTTGGTGGGGCTCCCCATGGAGCCACGAAACGTTGTGTTGGGCGGGTGAAACGCAGGGAGGAGGGGGAGGAGGGAGGAGGAGGGAGCAGGGGGGGGAGGACGAGGAGAGGAGAGGAGAGGAACGCGGGGACCGTATCTTCAAAACGAGGATCCAACACCACAGGATGGTTGGGATAAACCAAATTCTCCCGGCAAAGCTACCTAACAGCGATGTGTAGGAGCATATCTGGAAGCATTCCCCTTAAGATTCAGATGAGAATCCTGTTGTAGAATTCTGCTGTTCTCGCAGTCGTAGTCGCATTCGCGATGGCAGTCGCAGTGGCAACGGCAGTCACAGCCTCAGCCTCAGCCTCAGCCTGCCTCAGCATCAGCCTGCCTCAGCCTCAGCCTGAGCCTGCCTCTGCCTCAGCCTCAGCCTGCTTCAGCCTCAGCCTCCGTCTGCCGTCGGCCTCGGCCTCAGCCTCAGCCTGCCTCAGCCTCAGCCTGCATCAGCCTCAGCCTCAGCCTCAGCCTGCCTCAGCCTCAGCCTCAGCCTGCCTCAGCCTCAGCCTGCCTCAGCCTCAGCCTCAGCCTGCTTCAGCCTCAGCCTCAGTCTGCCTTCAGCCTCGGCCACAGCCTCAGCCTGCCTCAGCCTCAGCCTGCATCAGCCTCAGCCTCAGCCTCAGCCTGCCTCAGCATCAGCCTGCCTCAGCCTCATCCTCAGCCTGCCTCAGCCTCAGCCTCAGCCTGCTTCAGCCTCAGCCTCAGTCTGCCTTCAGCCTCGGCCTCAGCCTCAGCCTGCCTCAGCCTCAGCCTGCATCAGCCTCAGCCTCAGCCTCAGCCTGCCTCAGCATCAGCCCGCCTCAGCCTCAGCCTCAGCCTGCCTCAGCCTCAGCCTGCCTCAGCCTCAGCCTCAGCCTGCTTCAGCCTCAGCCTCAGTCTGCCTTCAGCCTCGGCCTCAGCCTCAGCCTGCCTCAGCCTCAGCCTGCATCAGCCTCAGCCTCAGCCTCAGCCTGCCACAGCATCAGCCTGCGTCAGCCTCAGCCTCAGCCTGCCTCAGCCTCAGCCTCAGCCTGCTTCAGCCTCAGCCTCAGTCTGCCTGCAGCCTCGGCCTCAGCCTCAGCCTGCCTCAGCCTGAGCCTGCATCAGCCTCAGCCTCAGTCAGCCTCAGCCTGCCTCAGCCTCAGCCTCTGCCTCAGCCTCAGCCTGCTTCAGCCTCAGCCTCAGTCTGCCTTCAGCCTCGGCCTCAGCCTCAGCCTGCCTCAGCCTCAGCCTGCATCAGCCTCAGCTCAGCCACAGCTCAGCCTCAGCATCACCTCGACGGCGAAAGCGTTCTCATCCACACCGCTTCAGCCTGGGCCTCAATCCAGCCTTCAGCCCTCTGCCTCAGCCTCAGCTCAGCCACAGCTGCCTCCTGCCTCATCCAGCCCATCCTCGCCTCCAGCCTCACCTGCTCCATGCCAACCTCAAGACAGCCTCAGCATCAGCCTGCTCATCCTCAGCCCTCACCTAGCCTCAGCCTCAGCCTCAGTCACACACAGCCTCTCCTCAGCCTCAGCCTGAGCCAGCACACTCAGCCACAGCCCTCAGCCTGCCTCAGCATCAGCCTGCCTCAGCCTGCCTCAGCCTCAGCCTCAGCCTGCCTCAGCCTCAGCCTGAGCCTGCTTCAGCCTCAGCCTCAGTCTGCCTTCAGCCTCGGCCTCAGCCTCCGCCTGCCTCAGCCTCAGCCTGCATGAGCCTCAGCCTCAGCCTCAGCCTGCCTCAGCATCAGCCTGCCTCAGCCTCAGCCTCAGCCTGCCTCAGCCTCAGCCTCAGCCTGCTTCAGCCTCAGCCTCAGTCTGCCTTCAGCCTCGGCATCAGCCTCAGCCTGCTCAGCCTCAGCCTGCCTCCGCCTCAGCCTCACAACAGCCACCCTCAGCAATTCAAAATCATGCCCAGGAATGGAGTTCTGGGAACTCGAAGACCACGAAGTGGCCTACAGTTGGCTCCGGGCATTCAAAATCATGCCCAGTAATGGAGTTCTGGGAACTCGAAGACCACGAAGTGGCCTACAGTTGGCTCCGGGCATTCAAAATGTGGCCCGGGAATGGAGTTCTGGGAACTCGAAGACCACGAAGTGGCCTACAGTTGGCTCCGGGCATTCAAAATGTGGCCCGGGAATGGAGTTCTGGGAACTCGAAGACCACGAAGTGGCCTACAGTTGGCTCCGGGCATTCAGAATGTGGCCCAGGAATGGAGTTCTGGACCTCGAAGACCACGAAGTGTGTAACTGTTGGCTAAAAAAAAGTCCCCGGCACCCTCCCCCGGATCGCGCCCAGACCCCCTTGGGGCGTCATGATGCTCTCTTTTGACCCTACTAGAAAAACCTATCAGTCTTCGCTGTTAGGTAAAAACAGAGACATGGGAGGATGGAGGGAGGGAGGGAGGGAGGGAGGAAGGGAGGGAGGGAGAGGGAGGACAGCGCAAGCAGGGTGGGAGGGGGGGGGCGGCGGTGGGAAGCTGGCCCATCTGCAACAGGAGCTGGCGACACAGATGGCGCAGGCGGAGGCAGCCGCGAAGGCCCAGCGCATGGCCGAGAAGCTGGCCCGAGAGGCCGGTGCCAGGGGGACGGAGGCACGGAGTTGGCCAGATGGCAGGCTGTCTTCTCCAGTCAAGCTCCGGCTCCAAACACCCGCAGGTGTTCGAATTCATCGGTATCCACGCGTCTTGCGAGCTTGAGCCCAGGCTGAGAATCCAATGCTAGTGACGTGTGGGCCCCAAGCGGCCGGACAGGCGCGAGCCTCCATGTGTAAAGCCTGACGTGTGTGCAGGCCCGCGTGTGGAGCCCTCTGTGTGTGGGTATATGCAGCTGCGTGCGGAAGAGCATCTGTGCGGAGCCTTTTGCCTGTGCTTGTGGAACGCGCGCGTGTGGGATCCCACCCCCCGCGGCTCTTCCTCTCCCCCTCGGTCGGCCCCCCTCCGCTCCCCTCGCGGCCGGCCTCCGCGCGGGTCGTGCTGCGCGGTCCCCTATGACCCGGCACGCGCCTTGCTGGCCCAGAGCTGGGCCGCCCCCGCGCTTTTCTTCCTTCGGCCGGTAGCCTGGCTTCGCGTCGCGTGGCTGCGCGCGTGGCCGCGACGCCAACAGCGTGTGCGTGCGGAGCCTCGCGTGGAGAGCAGGATGGGTGGAGCCTTCTGCGCGTGAAAGCCTGCGTTTGGGGCTTACACGTTCGGAACCCCACGTGTGTGGAACCTTGTGTGTGTGTGTGTGCGGAACTCCTTGCGTGTGTAAGCCCATGTGTGGAACGCGTGTGGGACCTTCTCTGGCGACGGACTGATCCCTAGCTACCACCCTACTTTCCATTGTGTGTGGAACCTTATGTGCGGAACCCCATGTGTGCGGAACCTTCTGTATGTGTGTGTGTGTGTGGAGTCATGTGTGTTTGCGTGTGCGCGGAACGCCTTGCGTGTGGAACCCCACGTGTGAACCGCGCGCGGAAGCTTCCTTGGCGACGGACTGATCCCTAGCCGCCACCCTTTGTTTCATCGCCCACCTTCCACCCAGCGAGTGTCGATGCCACGAGCTGGACGGCCCTGCAGAGCCTGTCGCGGCAGCCACGCTCGAAACTGCGACGCACTGACGGGGCGCCACCTTGTGGCGTCGGGCCGCGCGACTGACGCACGCTGGGAGCAGCATGCCCAGCCGCCCCCGCACACGCCCTCGGTTCACCGAGGCGGCGACGAGGAGTCCCCAGACACGCCGACCGGCAAGCTGCCCAGGCTGTGTTTCCTGAGGAGGGGGTATGGCCGAGCAGCTCGACACCCTCGCGGGGCGGACCACTCCCCCCACCCCCCACTCAGAGGCTCCCCGCAGTGGCCCCACGGGCCGAAGCACCAGCGTCTTGAGCCGAACCCAGCGCCGCGGAAGCCGCTCGCCGCCTTCGGCCCTCGGGAGCCCCACCCCTCGGCGAGGCCCCAGGCGCCTTGACCGCACTGCGCGCTGCACAAGATATCGCGATGTCAGGCAGGGAACCCAGCACCAGCCCCGACGAACGCTTTGAGCAGAGAGCTCTGGAACTGGAGCCTCGCCGGGTCCTGCTCCTTGCTCCGCCAGTCAGGAGGGGAAAAAACACATAGACACAATTCATCGTCGACTCCCAGGAAAATATGGGAAAATATGGGAAGTGGGGGGAAGACAATAACCGAGAAGATGTGAGAAAATATAGGGGAATCTTCTTGTTTGTGTGTATTTATTTGCGTGCCCTGGTGCCCCTTCAGCCAGGGCTGGCACGTGTCGCGGAGAGTGTGCTCCATGCCCTCACCGTCGAAGCTCTCGTCGCCGTGCGCTTCGGCGAGCTCCCGCGGCGTGCTCGGCGGCGCCACGGCCCGCCGTCGAGGGTGGCGCCGGCGGCCTCTGCCGCCTCGGGACTCGGCCCTCGGCGAGGCCTCCTCCTCCTCCTCCTCCTCCTCCTCCTCCTCCTCCTCCTCCTCCTCCTCCTCCTCCTCCCTCCTCCTCCTCCTCCATCCTCATCCTCCATCCTCCTTTCCCTCCTCCTCCTCCTCCTCCTCCTCCTCCTCCTCCTTCCTCTCCTCTTTCCTCCTCCTTTTTCCTCCTCCTCCTCCTCCTCCCTCCTCCTCCTTCCCTCCTTCCTCCTCCTCCTCCTCCTCCTCCTCCTCCTCCTCCTCCTCCTCCTCCCCTGAGCGGAGCGCGCCAGGGGCGGCGCGGGAGGGCTGCCGCCGTGGCCAGGGGTGCCCCGCGGCGAGCCAGGAAGTCCGCGCGGACCCCCGACGGTCGACAGTGGAGGCCCATGCCTCGAAACGCCCTGCCTGCCTCCAGGGTGCCCTGGGTGTCTTGGGTGCCGATGGTTCTGCGCTGGAAAGCACGACGTCCCCCCACACCGAGAGTCGATGGACGTCCTGGGGTCTCAGGGTTGGGTTTCGTGTGGAAGGTTTGTTGTGGTCGGGCCCACACTGTATGTACGTACCGATGTGTGCTCTTCGAACGAGAGGGGCGAGGCTCTGAAGGCGCGTGGATAAGAACTGGTCGTCCCTACCTCTCAGTGGGGCATGTCCCTCTACAGGAAGAATTATCAGAAATTGTCACAAAAAGCTGGGGACGATGTTTGGGTTATCATGAAAATTGTTGAGTCCTTTTGACTATGTTTCCCTTGTCTTGCAACATCCACCTGTAGGAGGACATGCCCGACCTAACCCTACCTCTTACCCCAGGCCTTCCACCTGGGGTCAAAGTAGATGGGGTCGGAGGATCGCGCCGCATCGCCAGTGCCTTGGCGATGCAGCTGGATGTGGGGCCCGATCGGGACAGTCGAAATTGGTACGGAAAGAAGGGGTACGATGCCTAACAGCAGTTATTGCTCATTTTGAACCGGATTCGCTGTCCGCGCCGCCGCGGGCGCTGTTCTTTGAAGGCAAGAAGGCCGCCTGCCCAACAGCGGCCGCTGTCGGTTTTGGACAACATCTGTTGTTGGGCATTGCGCCCATTTTTGTCCGTACCCATTTCGAGCGTGTTCCATGGGGTTGTTGGAGCAGGCGCCGATGGAGGAGGGGACCCGATGGCTCGATTGGAATATGGAGGGCCAGGAGGTTGCGAAGGAGGAGGGGGAGGCCGATGAGGAGGACGAGGGGGAGGAGGAGGAGGAGGAGGAGGAGGAGGACGAGGACGCGGCTCTCCGCCGGAACACTGCAGCGGGGAATCCCCAGTCCACGCTGCTGCCTCGGATTGTCCGTACCCATTTCGAGCGTCCGGACCCGAGGCTATCCCCGCCGACGTCGCCCATGCGTCGGCGAGGCGGCGCGGTCCTCCGACGCCCCACCCGAGGGGCCCCTGCCTGCGTGGCCGCCTGGCCGCCACCGCGACGCCCACGGCAGGCCTGGGGAGGAAACACAAGGTGCCGATACCGCCATTCCCCGGGCCCGTCCCGGGGGTGCGTGCTGACCCGCACTTTTTCGGGGGCGGAAAAGAGGGGGGGGATGACTAGGGGGGGGGGGATCTCATGGCGGGGGCCATGATATTTCCCCAGATTCCATGGCGCCTCTTCTTATTTCATTGCGTCCCTGGCCCCCCCGCTGGGCCGCGCACATGCCGCCGGTCATGATTTGCACACCCCCCTCTTGGACACCCCCCTCTTGGCCGCTCCCGATTGTTCGAAGAGAGTCCAATGGTGGCGACGAGGGCCTCCGAGGAGGCCCAAGAGAGAAGGGGAAGACAGACGGGCGGAGAGCAGCGGCATGGGTGCCGTTTCCTCCTCCGGAGCCGCGCGGGCCTCGGCCCTCGCGCTGCCCGTGGCCGCCCACGCCTGCGCCTGAGGAGGAGGAGGAGGAGGAGGAGGAGGAGGAGGAGGAGGAGGAGGAGGAGGGAGAGGGAGGAGGAGGAGAGGGAGGGAGCAGGAGGAGGAGCAGGAGGAGGAGGAAGAAACAGTGGAGCAGAAGGAGGAGGAAACAGAGGAGGGAGGGAGGGAGGAGGAGCTATGGAGCTATGGATATTGCGACCATGTCGGCTACAAGCATGAGACTCTTATACATCGAAGTGACTGACAGACACGCGTGTGCATGCACAAACGATGCGAGTCGGACATACGAATCTGACCTTAAATTACCTGCTGCGGGACACCGTGCCACCTCACGGGTAAAATATTCACCATATTGGCATGCCCACCAACACACGAAGACATTGAGACCAAAGAGCCCATTGAATGGCCAGACAACAGCACACGAGAGACATCCCCCTTCATCGTGATGCTGAAGGGACTCAACATGGACTTGCGCGACGATGGTTCCAGAACACCTGACCAACCAGCCAGCAAAACCTGAACAGTGCCAGGCCGTAAACTACCCTGCACATATCTCTCAAAATGCATGCGCCCAGACCAAAACAATAAGGCAACATGAACACAAAGCTTCCCACATGTGCAGCGAGCAAACTCATGACTGTAAGGTGTGTTGTGCCGACAGCGAAAAGCAGCAACACCCATCCAGGCTGCACAAAAAGATGACGGGATACGCCCAGCCGACAGGGGGACGGTTTGAAGGGCACGAACGCCCGCCGCCCGGGGGTAGTTAGTGGAGGTATGTCTTCGGCAGGGTGTCGTAGATGTGTCGTAGATGTTTTTCAGCTCGTCGCAGGCCTTCTTTGCCTGGAAGCCGCGCGCAATCGCAGCATCCGAGGCCCTGATGCCCATGTGCTTAGCGGCAGTGCTCAGCGGCAGTGCGCTCGGCCCGCGTTTGCCTTGAGCAGCCAGAAACGGCCGCTTCCCAGCACGCCACTCCTCCTCCTCCTCCTCCTCCTCCTCCTCCTCCTCCTCCTCCTCCTCCTCCTCCTCCTCCTCCTCCTCCTCCTCCTCCTCCCTCCTCCCCTCCTCCTCCTCCTCCTCCTCCTCCCCTCCTCCTCTCCTCACCTCCTGGCCGTTGCAGTGGCTCCGGTGGCGGTGCCGGTCTGGGGGCTTGTCCTTGCACGTGCCCCCGTCAACGGATATTGGTCGCTGGTGCCCTTGGGAGGCGCCGCAAGCGTGGCCAACGCCGCGAGCACCCCGCTCCTCCGCGGCGGGGAGGCTCGCTCCTCCTCCTCCTCCTCCTCCTCCTCCTCCTCCTCCTCCTCCTTCCCCCTCCTCCTCACTCCTCCTCCTCCTCCTCCTCCGCTCCGCCTCCGCCTCCTCCTCCTCCTCCTCCTCCTCTTCCTCCTTATCCTCCTCCTCCTCCTCCTCCTCCTCCTCCTCCTCCTCCTCCTCCTCCTCCTCCTCCTCCTCCTTGTCCTCCTCCTCCTCGTCCTCGTCCTCCTCCTCCTCCGTGGTGTCGTTTGTCGTCCT